TTACATAAGCTCATAACTCTAGGTATTCCATTAATCCAGGCGACACTAAGATTTACCGTGATCTAAGGGAAGTCTTTTGGTGGAACAACATGAAGCCAGAACAACTTTTGTGGAGTGTTCTAACTGTCAACATGTTACGGTAGAACATAAAAAACAAGGAGGTATGACTCAAGATATTGACATTCCTATTTGTAAGTGGGAAGTGATCAACATGGACTTCATCATAGGTCTACCTCGTACTCGCAGACAGCATGACTCCATTTGGGTGATTGTTGACAGAGTTACTAAGTCTTCTCTCTTTTTGGCGATCAAGACTACAGAGTTAGCGGAGGACTATGCCAAGCTTTATATTAATGAGATTGTGAGGTTACATGGGGTTCCTTTGTCTATCATCTCAGATAGAGGTCCTCAGTTTACCTCTCATTTCTAGAAGTCATTTCAGAAAGGTCTTGGTACGCAGGTTAATCTAAGCACAACATTTCATCCACAGATAGATGGTCAGGCAGAGCGTACCATTCAGACCTTAGAGGACATGTTGAGAGATTTTGTGGTTGATTTCAAGGGTATTTTTGATGATCACATTCCTCTTATTGAGTTGACCTACAACAATAGCTACAATTCCAGCATTTAGATGGCCTATTATGAGTCATTATATGGGCGTAGATGTAGATCTCAAGTTGATTGGTTTAAAGTAGGTGAAGCAACCTTGATAAAGCCAGATTCAGTTCATGATGCTATGGAGAAAGTGAAACTCATTAGAGATAGAGTTAAGACAACCAAGAGTCTCTAGAAATCTTATGCAAATGTAAGGAGAAGGGAACTAGTGTTCCAAGTTGATGATTGGTTTTTTCCCGAAAGTGTCACCTATGAAGGGGCTGATGAGATTTGGCAAGAAAGGGAAGCTTAGTCCAGATATGTAGTACCTTACAAGATTTTGAAAAGGATTGGTAAAGTGGCTTATGAGTTAGAGTTTCCAGCAGAATTAGCAGCAGTGGATCCAGTCTTTCACATCTCATTATTGAAGAAGTGTGTGGGTGATCAAGCATCTGTGATTCCATTAGAGAGTGTGGCTGTAAAAGATAGTCTTTCTTATGAGGACGTACCAATTGACATTCTTGATCGTCAGGTTAGAAGGTTGAGAATCAAAGAAGTCATTTCAGTCAAGGTTTTGTGGAGGAGTTAGTCCGTAGAGGGAGCTACTTGGGAAGCAGAAGCAGCCACGAAGTCCAACTACCCCCACCTCTTTCATTCCGATTCCACTTTAGCTTGAGCTAATAGTTCCTCTTCAGTTTTTCAGTTATTCATGCGTAGATTCAGTGTTAGTACCATGTTCTGTTAGTTTGTACTTGCATTTTTAGTATATTTGCATGTTTTGGAACTCAGTTCAGTCCGAAAATAGTTTTCTGTGTTTAGTGGTAGAATTGCAGCTCTTTCCATCCATTCTAGCTAGTTTAGTCTTCATTTGAGGACGAATGTTCCCAAGGCAGAGATAACGTAACACCCCGTATCGTAGATAGACTAGAATGGAGATTTCTAGAAGTGCAGGTGGCACCTACGGATCGCAGGTTGGACCACAGTCCATGGACCAGGTCCGTGGAACGTGGTCCATAGAAAAAACCCTAGAAAACCTCGATCGTAGGTGGAACCACAGCCCGTGGACCAGGTCCGTGGAATGTGGTCCACAGAAAAAAACCTTGACCCACGGCTAGGACCTACGGACCATAGGTTGAACCACGGTCCTTGGACTAGGTCCATGAAACGTGATCCGCAGAACCCATCCTCTGAGCCGAACGATGGCGACCAGATCCATCGGTTGGTCCCGATAGCTTTTAAGTCAAGGTCGTTTTGAACTTTTCCCTATGCGTTGGACCCCTAAACTATGTTCTTTAGACCCTAAATTATGAGGTTTTAGTCAGTTTAAGCCTAGAAACATAACTAGAACTTACCTTAGTGAAAACCATTAATCAAAACTTAAAAAATTAAAACTTGAGAGGATAAAAAAGGTCAAGAACCCTAGTTCAAGAACGCAGCAAGATTCCATCATTTCCAGCCCTGAAATCGAATGATTTCTCCGTGGAATTCGTCACCACATATGTGGAATTTCACTAGTGGGTTCCTTTAACCCATTAGGTCCATAGTTTTTAGTCAGTTTCTTGATTCCCTTATTATGAATAGACCTAGGGTTTCTTGAATGATAGAATTATTGGGTTCTTAACTTTTAAAATGATCCAAATCAGATTAGTATGTTAATATTTAGTCTATTGCAGAATTTCGGAACCCTAGCTATGTACTTCTTTAGTTCTTAAATTACACATGCTAGGCAGACATTTCAGTTATTTCAGATATAAATGCCTTAGTCTTAAATGTGTCATAATTATTTATTTATGCGCATTCTCAGTTTGCATGTCATTTTGAGCTATCTAGTATATCACAGTAATTCAATCATAATGTGTTAATCACTTAATCCATTGGGAGTAGCATAATACCGAGTTGGACTAGGGTCAGTCACCCATATAGTCCCAGAACTATCAGCCATGTAGGTTGTAAGTCCCCTCTATGGGCATCATTTTAGTGATCACGCTAGCATGGCTCTATACCTTTGGTTGGGTATATTGGATCCTCTCGATTGGGCGTACACATCGGATACCATATTTAGTTCATGTGGTTTTATTATCGGTTATTAGTAGCTCCCACAGTTCAGCCAGATTCTGTTGCATTGACCGTTTACCAGAATATTCAGTATTTCAATCTCAGCATGTTATAAATTTGTCATTGCATTTAGTTAGAGTAGTATTCAGTATGTATATCATGTTTAGATTATGCTCATGCTTTATTGCTTGTTCGGCTATATATATATTTCAGCTTTACTCTATCATGAATGCTTAGTACCTTTCAAATACTGATGCATACTCTCTGCTACATCTTTTCGTGAGGTAGATTCTGGTTTTGAGCATCTAGATCACACTTAGATCGGTTCTCGATCTCCAGTTCAGCAACATTAGTTGTGAGTCCTCATTCTTCGAGGACAACATTTATGTTATCTTTTCATTATTTTAGTCTTCGAGTTTCAGTTTTGCTAGACTTAGCTGAGGCATGTCCCAGCATTTCTAGTAAGTTAAAGGCTATTTTCAAACATAGTTAGATTCAGCTTAGTATTTGAGTTTGATGTTTCTTTTGTATTTAACTCTTAGATTTCATATTTAGTATTAGTATATGGGTATTCCCCATCATTTCAGATTTACATATTATTAGCTTCCACAACAATTTTATTTCTCAGTTTATCTTTAGTATGCTAATGATTATGCCAGCAGGGTTAGCTTGGGGTCAATTGTGATCCTAGGTCCTGTGTTTGCGTCTCGGGGGTAGCTTGGGGCGTGACACTAATGATGATTTAGCCCCATTCATCACCACTACTCCTCCTTCATCGGAATACCTTAGTTGAACTCCTAATCGTGCAAGTATATGTATATCTTTTGCAAACTCATTCTTGTGTTCCTCAACATGGGCGGTACTACCCATAGACAATCTACTCAAGGCATCAGCAACAACATTACCCTTACCTAGGTGGTAGAGAATACTCATGTCATAATACTTGAGTAATTCCAACCACCTCCTCTGTTTGAGATTAAGCTCTTTCTGACTAAACACATATTGAAGACTCTTGTGATTGGTGAAGACATCCACATGAACACCATAAGGATAGTGACATCATTTTTTAAAGAAAATACTACGACAACCAATTCTAGATCATGGGTTGAATAATTCATCTCATGAACCTTAAGCTGTCTGGACGCATAAGCTATAACTTTGCCATTTTGCATCAATACACAACTCAATCTAACTCAGGACGTATCACAATATATCACAAATCCTTGCGTACCTTCTGGTAAGGTCAATACTAGGGCAGTAGTCAACCCCTTTTTCAATTCCTGAAAGCTTTTCTCACAAGCTTGAGACCATTGAAACTTAATTGTTTTTTTAGTCAACTTGGCCAAAGGAGATGAAATAGATGAGAACCCCTCAACGAACCATCTATAATTGCCAACAAATCCAAAGAACCTCCAAATGTTAATTGGAGACGTGAGTCTAGGACAATTCTGCAATGTCTCTATCTTTTGAGTGTCAACTCGAGTTCCATCACCAAAAACAATATGGCATACGAATGCTACATTCTTAAGAAAAAATTTACACTTAGAAAACTTAGCATATAACTCCTTATCCTTGAGAGTTTGAAGGACTATTCTGAGATGACTATCACGATCTTCCTCATTCCTCGAATAGATTAGAATGTCATCAATGAATATGATAACAAACATATCTAAATAAGGATAGAATACTCTATTAATAAGGTCCATGAATGATGTAGGAGCATTGGTCAAACGAAAGGACATAACTAGGAACTCATATTGACCATAGCGGCTCTTGAAAGCTGTCTTAGGAATATCACTTTCTCTTACTCTAAACTGATGATAGCGCCTAATCTGAGGTCTATCATAGAAAAACAAGTGGCACCCTGAAGTTGATTAAAAGGGGTACTTATTCTTGATATTAACCTTGTTCAACTAATGGTAATCTATGCACATCCTAAGAGAACCATCTTTGTTTCTCACAAATAAGACCGGAGCCCCCCAAGGTGAGACACTTGGTCGAATAAAACCTTTCTCTAGGAGATCTTTCAACTTCTCTTTTAAGTCTATTGGAGCCATTATATATGACAGAATAGAGATTGGACGAGTATTGGGAATAATATTTATATCGAAGTCTATTTCTCTCTTAGAAGGTACTCATCTATGACGACTTCTGGAAACTCACTAACTGAGGCATAACAGGCATGAACCTAGTCCATACCTAGAATTCCATCAAAATCTACCATGTCTAACTTGACCAAGTCAGCCATGGTGCCCTTGTCATTGACGGAAATGACATAATCACGATAGACTCTCTTAGCTAGAATAGACTCAAAACAAGATGTAGAAACACTGAAGGGCTCAAGAAGTTGTTCAGGAACAATATCGAAATTCATAGCAATATTGGGAGATATAAAATAGAGTCACTCTTGGATCTAGCAAAGAATAAACATCAATATTAAGGACTTTGATCATTCTAGTGACAACATTTGGAAAATTCTTTTGCTCTTGGCGACTGGTGATAGCATATAGATAGTTTTCCCCTATGGCGATCCCTGATGTAGCCTCTCTAGGTGAAGCCTTGTCTGGTGGAGCAACTGAAGAAGATTGAGCTCTATTGCTCCTATTTCCACCACATTGTCTGTTCTTAGGGAACTCTTTCATGAAGTAATCCTCTTGGCCACACTTAAAGTAACCAGTGGAGCCATCATGACATACCCCTGAGTGGGTCCTACCACACTTAACACATGCAGAAGTCCCATTACCTTTTTGTGCCACACTACCCTGAGACTGTGCAGATCTAACTCTAAAATTCTATGAATTCTGATTATTGAACTCACCTCAGTTCCTTGGTGCATGTGTAGTAACAGATGATGTAGCAGGTCCTTTTGCTTATGTGGGAAAGATGACCGGTTGGCATTACTCTTCTGTTGTCCAAACTCATTCCTTATCTTAGCCTTCTTTTTTCAAAACTCTTCTTTATCTTTCAACTTAACCTCCTCAACCTGTTGCACATGGATCATCAGCCTTACTTTGTCCATGTCCCCTATTAGCATAGTTGTCTTTCTCTCCTTAGTTGACAGACGAGGCAACCGAGTAACAAACAGACTCATCTTGATCTTCATGTTAGAAACCATATCCGGGGAATAACAAGAAAAGTTGGGTGAACTTAAGACTATACTCATGCACACTCATAGATTCCTGCTTAAGTGTGAGGAATTCTCTTACCTTTGCCTCTCTCAGCTCAAAGGGAGAAAAACGACCCATGAAGGCACTCTAGAACACAACCCATGTCACAATTGGTGCACCCCTGGATCTACCCTTCTTCCATTGGTCAAACCGTATTCTAGAAACACCCTTCAGTTGGTATGAATCTAGTTCCACTCTCTCAGCATCAGCAACATGTATAACCTCAAACATTTTCTTCAATTCCTCTACAAAGTTTACCGGATCCTCAGTGATGCTTGAACTAGTGAAGGTTAGAGGATTCATTCTTAAGAACACATGGATCCTAGAAGTATCAGGCACTTCCTATCGATTTTCTCTTTGTTGTCCAGCTTGGTTTGTCACGACCTGACTTAACATCTGAATAGCTTCACGAAACTCAGTATTAGTGACATCTTCTTGGGGTGGCACTTCTGGTACATTAGGATCACCTTGATCCACAACATTCCTTCTAGCAGGATGACCTCGATCAACTTTTTGTGGAGGCATGATCTGAAAGATACGTGCAAGCACGAGTTAGAAATAAAATTTATAGAGATGAACTCTATCGCATGAAATGAGTATGAAAGAAGTGAAATAGTTCCTAAATATTGCTGCCTCCTAATTATATATGTGGCGCATTTCACACTGATAATTAGGACTCTACAAAAATGACTTCATAGACACCCTAGGATTCTTGAACTCCGTGCTCTGATACAAAGTTTGTCACGCCCCGAGCATACACCTTGGGTGGGACTGGCACTCGACAAGTTTTACTAGCCTAAGTGAACCCTTGGCCTTGCTTAACTCTCACCGGAAGACTTAGTCAACAATTAAATGTACTGAAAACAATCATAACTAAATTGTCTCAATAGATAATTATAATGTTTTAGAATAATACATTGAACTAGCCAAATTGGAAACTCAAATCTTAACACAAACAACTGAAAATGGAAAGACTAATGAACAATAACTATCCATCTATGAAGCCTCTAATACTATGAGGGATGTCAAGACAAGAACCCTGATCATCCTAACAACTGAAATTACAAAGCAATATTAAAGGGATCCAACGGAAAGCAATGAGGCTCACAAAATTACTCTGAAATGCTCAACTAGATCAACGAAGGGCTGGATGTTGATCCTCGTTACCTGTATTTGCATCATAAAAAGATATAGGTCAAATGGCGTCAATATATTAAATGTACGGGCATGTGAGGGGGAATCTAAACAAGACATAAGCTTGAACAGGAATGTGAAAGAAACACTTACCTCTTCTCAACTCAACTCATCTTCAAAATAATGCAGTAATAAAGGTGCAATATAAAGAAAAGCTTTAAAACATGTTGATAACAACTCAGTGTATAAAAAGATACAACAATAATTTTGTTTTGTATATGAAAATACAAGTAACTCTATGGGAGATTCTCGAACCGACAACCATCACTATGAGCTATGTGATGATACAGAGTCTAACCCACATTGCCAAAGTTGTCCTATACTTTTCCAAGGTATTGAACCTACTACTAAGTGGATCCACTAGTCTATGCTAAAAAGCATTAAGGACTCATCTAAAATGTATGACCCTTTCTACACACACTGGCGACATGGTTTATGGAGATTACGTTATCTGAACTCGTCCGCATATTGGTGCTCAATAGTACTCCCAAAATGTAACTAGCTCATATGTTTAAAAACATAACTTTATGTGTGGTTTGAGAATAGTACTCAAAATATCTTTCTCTCAAATGAGATGGTACATAAACTTCTCATGAAAACTCTTTTGGAAATCGGTGTTTCCTGTTATCTTAAGTGTGAAAACATTTACTCTTTGGGAATACTTATTTCCCATATATCATTTTAAAGGAATGAACTTGGCTCTAACTTTCTCAAACTCAATGTTTAAGCCTTTAAAACAAGTTTAAACGATTGTAAAAGACTTTTAATAAGACTCCAAGAAAATCTCTAGACTTGACTCTTAACTCTACCTTAAATTTGAATTATGGATTCAAGGTTTATCATCTCATGTTATGGATGATCTCATGATGTTTAGATGTACCTTAGAGTGTATAAATCAACTATAAAACATAGGTACGATTCGAGGACCTGGCGACCCTGGCGTACTGAGTGGCGTAGGGCACCAAATCCTGAACTACAAAAGTAAAGTTGTGGTGTCTGAGTGGCACGGCAATTGAGAGCCAAAACTACAGAAGGAAAGTTATGGCATATTGAGTGGTGCGGCGCCCCACCCCTTTTCACAGAAAACTTGATGAATTTTCTTATTAGTTTTATAAGACCAATTCACCTAGAACCGAATGGTTTCTTCCCCAATCACTTTGATTCGAATACCCAACATTAGTGTAGAAGAATGTACTCAAAAACCACCTTAAAACTCATACGATTATCTCAAGAACACATCAAAATTTCAACAATCAAGATAATGAAGGAAACTTCAAAAAGACCCATCAAGAACTCAAATGCTTTATTTTCAAGAACGTAATTTAACCGAATTAAATCATGATTGGCGTGTGAGTGAACGAACCCAACAGTTTGTGAACTAACATAGCTCTTAGGAATTAACCCATGGCGAAATCCGCAATCGAAATCTCAAGAACGTGACGAAACCTTGGCTTTTTTTCTATTTTCTCTTCTCTCCAAGCCCTAGGTTAAATTGCAACTCTGTAAAATGAACCAAATTATACCCCTAATTAATTACTAAAAACGAATTAAATCTGATAGGGTAAGGAAAAGACCAAAATATCCATCTTAAATCCGAGTGACTTTCCTTAACTTGACAACCCAACTTCAAACAGGCATATCTCCCTCATACGAGCTTGAAAATTAACAAACTCGGTGGCGTTGGAAAGAGGATTCCAAGCCCTTTCATTTTCCATCTTATGGCACACCGAACACATCTTATACTGAAAGTTATGGTAATTTGAAGTTGACCCAAAACACATACTTAGCAAAACTTTCCAACTTTTAGATTTTCATTCTTTCCAAAATTAATTCTTTAAAATTCTAGTTCTTTTTAAGGCGGGATGTTATAGAAACCAAGCCTGAATACTCCTAGCACACTTAAGTCTTCCCATTCTAGAGTTTTGCAGCTTGTTTTTGGTCTAAACCAATTAATTAATGCAAGGATCAATAAACAAGGCCTAATTTAGTTGGATTATATCAAAATATCAACCCAAAGAGAGACCCATGATCCTCATGGTCATCTAGGGCTTTTCCCACAATCAACTTATGGCCAAAACCCTCCCTCAACAATAATTAATAAGAATTCTAAGTTCTAAGAATTGAAATACATATTAGGGGAGTAATTAACTTACCTTTGGCGCGAGAATTCGTGGAAATTTGATTAGAAACTGCCCTAGGTCGTCCCTTCGTTCTTAAGAACGAGGTTTTACATAAAATAACGTTTGGGTTTTGCCCAGGTTCAAGTCGAGACTAGCCAGCCACAACGGACCCTATCCCACCACAGTGGCCCCGCCCTAGCGGAATTAACCCCACCCCAGTGGCTTGCATGGAGACCGATACTGAGAATTTGAGTTCCAAGATCCCATTTCAAAACACCTTCAAACCTTGACGTTCTAAAACTACCCCTTCACGCCAAGATCTGTTTCGAGAGTTTTACTCGCTTGATTTCGATTCTGTAAAGTGGTAAAGACTCCTTAACGTCTTGGCTATCCACTTACATGATAAAATTTATAATTAAATCATCAATCCATCATCGGATTGCCCTAGACCTCACCTAACTTAGATTTCATCCAAGTCTTGCTTAGGTTAGAAATTTCCAAGTTACTATTCAGAAGTTTTTTGGCCCAAATACCTTCCCCATTTGCTTTTCCATAACAATGGGAACAGGTCGTTACAATTGATACTAATTTACCCATCACTCATACCCAAGTAATAAACTAGGAGAACTAGTTATGGCAAGAGTAGAGTAGAATCATAATCGTCGAATAACTGGGATACTTGTCTAGTATGTCCTTCTCAGTTTCCCAAGTAGCTTCCTCAACCGGACGATTCTTCCATTGAACATTCAGAGACTTTATCTCTTTAGTTCTCAGCTTCTAGACATCACAATCAAGAATTGCAACCGGTTCTTCTCATACTAAAGGTCATTGTCTAAAACAACTGAGTCTTATTTTATGATGTAATATCCGTCCCTATGATACTACTTGAACATGGACATATGAAACACTAGATGGACTCCATATAGGCCAGGCGGTAAAGCCAACCTATAAGCCATTGGCCTTACATAGTCAAGAATCTCAAATGGTCAGATTTGTCAAGGACTAAGTTTCCCCTTCTTGCCGAATCTCGTCACCCCCTTTATGGGTTACACTTTAAGAAGAACTTTCTCACCAGCCTGATATGTTGTGTCTCTTACCTTGCTATCTACATATTTTTTATGTTGACTCTGGGCTGCTAAAAACTTCTGTTGGATGCTTCTCACCTTATCCTCATCATGTTGCACCAAATAAAGCCCCAAAGCTTTCACTTATCCAGCCTCAAACAACCTTAGGGGTGATCTACATCCCATCCGATAAAGTGCCTCAAATGGTGCCATGCCAATGCTGGAGTGGTAACTATTATTATAGGAGAACTCACACAAAGGTAGGAACTTATCCCAATGCCCTCCAAAGTCAATCACACATGCCCTCAACATGTCCTCTAACACTTGAATAGTTCTCTTTGACTGCACGCCCGTCTGTGGATGAAAAGCTCTTCTAAAAGTTAGTTGAGTGCCCAACTCCTCATCCAATTTTCTCCAAAACATTTATCTTAATTGCATACCATGGTTCGAGATGATGGAAAGGGTCACCCCATGTAGCCTCAATATCTCATTCACATAAGCCTTAGTCAACTGCAGAGCATTATAGTTTACTCTGACTAGAATGAAGTGGGCTGACTTAGTCAGTCTGTCAACCACTACCAAATTGAGTCAACTTCCCCAAGGTCTTGGGAAGACCAACGACGAAATCCATAGTGCTCGTTTCCTACTTCCATTATGGAATTGGCATTCGCTGAAGCAAACCTGTAGGACTTTGGTGCTCATACTTTACTTGTTGACAGTTATGGCACATACCACAAACTCAGCTATGTCTTTCTTCATGCTAGGCCACCAATAAAGTCCTTTCAAATCTCGGTATATCCTTGTCACACCAGGATGAATGGAATACCACGAACCATCCACTCGAGTAACATAAATTCTTTCTTTCAAACTGAGCACACCGCCCGCATCAAAAGTTGCATTTTGTGTCTTGCCATACACTGTCTTC